CGTTCTGGCTGAAAAAAAGCCCTGATTTTAGCTATGGTCATATTCAGAATAGTGAGAAACCAATACTCAACAGTAAAATCTTTAGAAACTATGCAAGAGCTAATTTTTGCAATTTGCCAGTTAGCATAATGCATATACCACAGTTCCAGACACTATGTTCATAATATAATACTGTGAAACCTCAGATAAAATATTTCTTTTAATAAAAAGCACCAAAGTCAAAGTGATTTTTATTTACTGGAGTGGAAAAAAACGCCAACTTTCCTCTACTTAGCAAAATCGATTTTGATGCCATGGGAAAAACTCAATGGAGAGTTGAAATATCCATATCATTAACAACAGTTTGTCTAGTCAACCGTCTCACTTGAATGTGCCTGCTCTGTTACAGCTGAGTCTTGTCTTTTACAAATTTAATTTTTCAGACTTTGATCTCTCTGATCCAACTGTTCTCAATTCTCTTTCCATGAAATTCAAAGGAAGGACTGTGAAATGAACAAATATATTTAATATTTGTTGAGTGAATGCTCCAGACTATTCCTGGATGGTTGGTACTTTTTACCCTTTTCGTGGGAAGTAGCCCTGAGAAAAAGCTCTGCAGTATACAGCCACAACACATGGCACAATCACAACGACCAGTAATGCTTGCAATTGTGGATCATGAACTGCCATCCCTGAGCAATCTGTGCTTCTTGCTTCATTTGTCACAAATATCACTGTATTTGTTGCTGTGATAATTATAATTAAAAAAAGATGGACAGAGAAACAAGATATACCAAGCTCAGCTGGAAGAGTTACACATGCCCTTAATAATATTTCAGTTGGGCTAGTTTGTTTTCGTAGTGGTTAAACTGCTTGGGCGAATTCACAGTTAACCCACAATCCCTTATATAAGGCTTAATACTTCCTCTGCCTATATTGCTTTAATATTATAAGTACATCAGCAGTGTAGTGGTAAATTTTAAAGTGCAGGAGCTCTTCATGAGACTCCATATCACAAAAAGTCAAATGAACCCATTACCTTTTTATGTTACTTGGCAACTATTTATTTCATATTATGTGGCATGAGGACCATATAAAACAGTTGCCCCAGACACATGGCAATATGGAGAGATTTATTAGACTAAAATGTCGGTCAGTTTTCATATACCTTCTCCTAGGTCTGCTTTGTGTTTGGCTGCTCTTTGCGGAGAAACATTTGTTAGCTGCTTTCGTTGCTCGTATTTTATTGCAAAGTTTTGAAAACGCACTAGAAAATACTTTGAAAAACAAAGAGTCAAAATGACGAGGGTACCTTTGTTGATCGATTTGCCCATACACCCTTGCCTACTAAAGAGCAGCAATACAGAACATGATACCCAATTTATTAGGACCAGCTTAAAGTTGTAGAATAGTGAGCTGCCCAAGGATGGTGTAATGAGCATCATGTTGGAATTTGGCTGGCTGGATCTAAGTTACATCCCTGATGTGGCATTACTGTAATCCTATGCATAGTTCCATGGGGGTAAACTCCATGAAACTCAGTGGGGCTTACTTCTGAATGCATAGGTTGAACTTGTTGAACTTTAACAACAGAGCTGAAATGCAACATTTAACTTTTCATTAGATGCACAAAAAGTTTTGCAAATGCTCACTTTTATACTCTGTGCAATTAAATAACTCAAGATGGATGTGGTTATGATCTCAGATGCTTCCAACTGTGCAAAATGCTTTACTATTAACTGCAGCAAATTGGGTGATAAGGGAGCACTTTTCATTTTATGTTGATAAAGGGAAAACAGCCAGTCACCATCTGTTATTGTTTTTAAAACAAATCTGAGTTAGAGATAAGTTATTGGTGTATATTTTAGGCCAAGTAAACCAGAACAAAACTTTGTTATATACATACTATGAATTGCAAAAGTGTATGTATTTCTATTACAATGTAACATAAGAATAAACCAGTCTCAAAGAACACTTGACAAGAAATATAAAGAGATTTATATTGTTAACAATCCAAAGTTTCTGGTTTTACTTATCTTCCAACTTCAATGGTTTCTTCCTTCTTTGTTGTACAAACCATCCTGCTCGTTATTTCTCTCATGGTCTTTATCTCTTAAGAGAGGCAAACCCAGTTCTACCAGTTAAAACTTTGATACTGCCTCTACTGAAATATAAACTTTAAATCTTTAAACAATAAACTTTAAGAGCATAAAAACTATAAAAAGGAATGTTTGAGATAAAACAAAATAAAGGAGTACTGAAAGAGAGACACGTGCTGTCTTTTAACATGGTTCTATTTAGACCACACACCCTTTTATACCAGCCACTATGCACATATGGAAAAGCAGGCTAAACACCCACCACTTTCACTTCACCATTTCCATCCTCTTTTAACCACCATGCATTTAAGAGATACAATAAATAATATCTGATAGAAGAAAGTTATTTTTTGTTTTATAAATGTAGTCAGGATGGTCACCATATTTTCAAGTAACTTACAACTAAATGAAAATGCATTGTAAGCAGCACAGGCCACGTGAAGCAGTATATATAGTTTTGACATGTCTGTTTCTCCTTTTTATCATATAGGGTCTCTGAACAGGCCTAGATTCAATAATGGATTGGATCAGAGTGAAGGAACTTAAACTCAATCTAGAATTAATGATTGTAGAGGACTCAGAGTGGTAAACTGGGGAAACGTTCATTCTAGATGAAATTGCTTTTTAAAAAGAGTTGTCTGTTAGATACTTCTTAGCTGCTTTTCAAAATAAAATATATTCCCAAAGCACCATAAAATGTAACAAAGCCCTTTTTTTAAGTTCACAATTTAGATACGAAAACAGAAAGAGCACTAGAACCATCTGATCTCAAGCTGGCACACTCTGGCTCACAGCCAACAGAAACACATAGTAAAAGAACAATTCTAATTAAAACCAGATTGGGATTGAATCATATTCAGAAGCCTATCAAAAAGAAAACAAAAGGGAGCCAATTGTACCACTTGTGGGAGATGCAATGCTGGAACTAAAAAAGCAGCTGTAGCGTTATTTTAGCTTAAGCTGCCTTGCCACTACATCTGCTGCTGGAGCGTAGCCTGGCCGCTGCAACGCTTACCTTTTTGACTTTCTAACTAAGACAGTTGTAATGTGCCTTAAAGACTGCCTGGAAGCATACTTCTAAATGCTACTGCTTAATTCATTTAAGCTGCTGTCAGTTTTTGATCAGTGAGAACTTACTACACTTCAGCGGCTACCGGTGTGTTCACAACCAATTCAAGCAGCTGCGTTTGACCTATAAATCCCTATATCGTGATGGGGAACCTGTGGCACTCCACATATTGTTAAACTACAACTCACATTACCTTAGGCCAATGGAAGTTGGCATCTAGCAATATCATACCCTCCAACAATTTTGTGCCAAAACTGAGACGTCAGGTGGGGCACACCTTCCAGTCCAGCGCTCTTTTAGTCCGATGTTCACGCCAGAGTGCTGGACCAAAAAACAGGACACTCCAGGATCCAAACAGAAGCTAGGATTGGCTTCTGTGATGTCCCATTTAAAGTAGGGCACTTGGGAGGTATGCAATATCTGTAGGGCCACAGCCTGGCTCTCCAACCTGCCTGTAAATAATTTGGGGTATTTAAAGGAACATCTCCCATTTTAAGATCTAACAATGAGATCCTGCTAAGCAGGTCCATGTAGAGTGGGGGGCAGCCAGATACACTTGACCCAGGCCTTGGAGCACCTGCTGGCCTGTTACGGACTGGCTGTTTTTTGAGTTTATAACTGAATTCCAACAAGGCTTCCACCCCAGGCCTCAGACGAGCTCTGCAGGGCCTTGCTGCTAAGTGTACTACCTTTTGTGGATGTCTGTTTAGCAGTGTGCTTTCAGTAAACCCAGGAAACTCATTCCATCCCATTTCTTTCAGAAAAGAGATATATTCTTCTTCATATTTTTTTTAAAAAAGAGAATCATACCCACAAAACTGAGGTAGGAGTTTGGAAACTGAGCTTATTTAGGCCTCCTATTTCTTCAGTGGTTTTGTTGACCAGTTTTATGGGCTTTGGTTTCACTATTTTTGCTATTGTTAAATTATTCATATATGGTTTTAAGTTACAAACTGCTTTATAAACAGATTGAAAATCAGTATATATATTATGTAAAGAATGAAAGTAAGAATCCACAGGTAACCTGTGTGACGTCTGAAAAACTTTATTTGCTGCATATCTGAGAGCCAACTATGCATTAAGCTTAGTGGGTAGTGGGCATCTATTTTGCCCTTTTAACTTTCATTAATTATGAGTTCAGTGTGTGTGTGCAATTCTTACTGGAAATGCAGTGCTCAGGGAGAGGAGACTTGTTAATTTCCTCCTTGGTGCAATCAGAACTAAAACCACTTCCTCACATGATTAAAAAGCCTGTTCTAAGTGTTCTAACTGTACGGGAAGGTATTTTGGCAGCTGGGAGTGAAAGGAAAGAGGAAATGATATCTTGCCATGCACCACATTCCTGGTAAAGATCCCACCTAACCGGAATTCATAAAATAAAAAGGAGAGGTAGCTGCATATTACACATTAAACATAATGTGTCATTTGGTCCTAACCCAGATAAAAAAAAGATGAATTCAAAAGTCAGACATTGCATGGATTTATCAGAAACCCCACTTCTGCCCTGAGGAACAGGTCAGGTTGTGCCAATGATTAAAGTTGGGCAAATGATAAAGCTGAAGGACAAAGTGTATCAATGAAAAGGATATTGTATAGAACAGCTTAATAAGAAAAAATGTGGGAAGCTAAAGTGGTTCATTTAAGGGCAGATCTAAAGTTGGAATTTCTCTGTCACATACAGGTGAACTGTACCTGAAATACTTTTCAGAGAGCCACAGGTGAAAAGCAGTTAATTGTTATCTTCTGTATCTTGTCAATTCAGTTGTCTACATAGACAGAATGAGATATGTTCCCGGTCTGAAAGGCTGTTTTTAAGTGTTGTGTGTAATTAGATATGCTATTATGGCAATATTATCTTTGTTTGGTTTTCTTGTTTTAATGCATTTTAGTGTTTAAACCATCTACCCAAGTGGTGTAATCAAATATTGCTAAAATGCAAGAAAACAAGAAAACCAAACAAAGACCATATAGGTATTCATAATAATGTAACTAATCACGTACAATGTCCAGAGAATGTTATGGGGTAACAATAAATAAATACTTTGTTCATAGATGACAGCAAACACTTTCAAAATTTCTTATGAAAATGAACAAACAAATCTTTAAAGGAGGCAGGTTAAAAGACAGATGGTTTGCTTATGTTGCCACACCATCAAGCCAACCAAGGGCTAGCATATCTAGATGCTTAGTCTAGTATTCTTCTTTCTGCTTCCACCTAAAGCATTTTATAAATGAGTAGAAAGCATTATGCCCTTTCTTTGTAAAGTATCACTGACGCGGTTCTCAGGCCAGTTACACCTCTAAGTTGCTGGTGAAGCCAATGGGAATAAAACAAATCCCACACCCTTCCACAGTTACAGCTTTTTCTTAATTTGTAAGCATGCACAAGTCCCACAGAGCTAAAAGAAGCTTATGGCCAAAAAACTGTGTGCAAGATTTCAACTTTAGTACACACTATGGATTTATACATTAGTGAACATAAAAGAGCTTTTCAAAATAAGAGCAAAACCAAAGGTGTATTCACTAACCTATCTAGCAAAATATTGTCCTAAAAAGAATAAAAATGGATAATAGCTGAGAGATAGAGCTTGTGCTTTTCATATTAAAGGTCTCAATCCTGGTCATTTTAAAATAAAAATAATAATCTCAAGTAACAGACTGCAAAGATCTACTTCTTAATCTTAACAGTTTCCTAAGGCTCCCCAAAAGAACACTGTATGATAACTGCTGATTTACAACTCTCCCATCCGCCAAACACATAGCTATTATTACTAAGAGGAAGTCAGCAGGTGGCACTATTATACACATATTCTGCATATTTTTCTTTCTCAAACTCATTCTTTTTTTCAATATAGTTTTTATGCATATTTCTGATACTAAAAAGCATTGTGCATCTACCATATGCTGTACACTTATATTCCTTCCCACTTCGTAAGGTAAGAAATAAAGCATTCCTATACTGAGTGTTTTTGAACTTAGGACTCAGCAACTGATGAAACAGTTTGAACTGGGAAAACTACACAGCTCATAGTAAAACTATAATCCAAACCTATGCATGTTTAGTCCAATGCAATTCCTATTTTTTACAGTGGTGCCTACTCCTAGATGAGCAAGTTTGGGATGTACATTTATCTATCAGGAAGAATAATTTAATTCAGTGGTGCTTAATTTCAAATCAACATACTGTTTATAGAAACAAAGGAAGCTGCCTTATATCAAGTCAGAGCATTGATCGATTTAGCTTAATATTGCAATTTGTGGACACTGATTGTCAGCAGTTTTTCAGACAGGATTCTTTCCCAGGCGTATCTGACCATAACTTAATGAAACTCTTCGCATACCAAATATGCATTCCGATACCGAGCTTCGGTCAGTCACCACATGTAATGAACGATTATTCTTTTTATTTTATTTTCCATTCCCTCAAGGAGGTATAGAAAAACAGTTCTTCTCCTGGTTGTATTATTGCAACCACCTCATTAATTGCGAATAGGCTGAGTGAGAAATCCCCCTGCATGCGTGGGGTCGGGATCCAGCAGTTCTCTAGCTGAGCCAAGAGGTTCTCAGCACAGCGAGGCTACGATGGCTTAACTCCCCTATCCTTGGTTTCAGCCAGGATCCCGCCAGCAGTGGCGAGCCCAGTGAGGATTGCAGCCTGAGTCTCCCTGCCTCAACATTTTTCTCACCGAACAGTGGCTACAAATCAGACCGCTTTCCCTTGCTCACTGTTACAAGACCCAGCAATGCCCCTTTTTTTGGCTCTTGGACTATCATATCAGTTGCTAGGAAGCGGGGAAAACAACAGGATTTCAATAGAAGAAGAACTGTGCCTGGAGGAAGAACTGAGGGGAGAGACTCCATCAGGCAAGGCCTCCTTCCACCTGCCTTGCCCCACTCTCTGCTTCTCAATGTGTATTGTATTTTTTTATGTACTGTGGCTTGCCATTGTTTTATTGATTATAGTTTAGATATTATTGTAACTGTTGAGTGGATTTCTGTTTAACTTTTATATGTTGGTATTATTAATTTATACTATTGTAATGATTGTTGAATGTTACTTTTTTGATGGAGGTTGCCTATTTTAAAGTTATGTTTTATTATCACATTTTTGCATTGCATTAGATTGTTATAACATGTACATTTTTTTGTTTCTTCAGCTTGTAAACTGCCTTGAGTATTGTAAGATAGAAAGGCGGTATACAAATTAAAAATCATGATGATGATGATGATGAATAACAACAACAACAACGCAGCAAAGCCTTTTTGTTATGCATTCAGCCGCAGTGGCCACTGCCCTAATAAAGTCATTTTTGCATTTCTGACTTGACACACTCCTTTGCTGGGTTAACATCAGCACAACTCCACTCTACGCCCCCGTCTCTCTATGGTAAGCCAGGAAGCTTCCGCCGCAGGCTTCGGAACGTTCGCTCGAAGCCTCGCCTCCAATCAACAGCGCCAGTCCCGTTGCTAGGTGACCGTTGCCAAGCTGCGGCGTGCGGAAGGAAGCTCGAGTCGCCTTGGAGACAGGGACGCTCCAGGCTGGGCGCTGGTTTGGCCAGAAGGCTGCCATGAGTTCCCGGGGCAGCGAGCAGGAGGGCGGCTGCGGCGGCGGCTGCGGAAGGATAATGGAGGCTCCCGCAGCCTCGTGGCACGTAGCCGGGGTGCGCATTACGCCGTCCGAGGTGCGCTTCGTGGACGCGGTGCCCGGAGGGCGCTACCGGGCGCTGCTGAGCATCCAGAACCTGCAGTCTCACAGCTGCCTTCTTCGCTTAATGCCTCCGGAACAACCTCAGGTGGGGAGCCCAGAACTGGCCCTTGAAACCCCCGCCTTCCCCTTTAAAAATGCTCCTTTGCACCCTTCGCAACGCTCCTCCTCCTTCTGAGGCTACTGCTAGTAGTGTCCACGTCCCCATCCTGCACTTTCCCCTCTCTCCATTCGCCTTTGCTGCTTCACTTGTTGCAAAAAAAATACAAAACACCCCTCCCCAGGTTCGTAACAATGTAAATCTTGGCAGATCAAATAGGCGTTAAATAAAACCAAACAAACTCAGAGGCGGAGCGTTTGCCACTGGAGAGTTACTGAATAGTGTTTTGAATCAAAGCCCATCACTTGTCAATCATGATAATAATAATAATTTTATTATTTATATGCCTCACCCCAATCTGACTGGGTTGCTCCAGCCTCTCTGGCGGCTTCCAGCCAAATATATTTCATGGATGGGCAATGAATATACTGTATGATCCTGCTGAAATCAAATGACAGTTGAATTGGAAATCGAATGGTTTATTTCTTCTTCTTATCTTGCAGTTCAAACTAATTGTGGAAAATCAAAAGAACTCCGTTGCTTCTGGGCTTCACATAACAGCCATTGTGGAATATCATCCTGATAAAGAGATAGACCTTCAGGACAAGTTACTCCTTCACATAGGAAAAAAGATAATTGAGATCCCTCTAATAGGGTATGGCATTTCAGCGTATTGCTCCACTAGTTAACTTTTGTTAAAACAAGGTGAAATTTCCTCCATATGATTATTGTGACTTAAAATTGTTATGTGTGAAGTGGCCTTAAGGGACGATCTACATACTAATTGCTTGTAACCAATTAATGTCCATAGTTTGAAAAAAACAACAACAAATAGCTGTAGGTGTGTAAACAGGATGAAGACCATGATTCTGGCAAAAAATCCAACACTGCCCCCTGTACTCTGAGAGGAAAACTTAAACTGATGCCAATAGACATTTCTCTCTTAGCCCTAACAACAGCTTGCATGGGCTATTTATTTTATTAAAATGATAATGCTCCAATTTTACTCTTTGTGACATAGTGTTGCCACTTGACTGATGTTTATTACTAGATTAGTGCTTTTTAACTTTTTAAATGATGTTACAGATGTCAAAGAGAACAACAACTACCAAACTTTTAGAAGACATCTGAAAGCAGCCCTGTTTAGGGACGCTTTTAATGTTTGATGTATTACTGTATTTTAATATTTGGTTGGAAGGTGCCCAGAGTGGCTGGGGAAGCCCAGTCAGATGGGTGGGGTATAAATAATAAATTATTATTATTAAATGCATTAATTAATAGCACAATCCAAACCAGTGTCCACCAACACAGGTTTGCATTGTAAGAGCCACCAACACATTTCATTGCTCACTTGGTTAGAACCAGAAAGCGGGAGGGGGCAAGCAAAAGTATGCTCTATGCCACCTTGGAGCTGACTTAGTGATTGGGTCTGCTGCTGTCAAGGGGTGTTAGTGGAGCTGTCTTAGGATCCAGTAGGCCCTGTTTTGCCTCAGCCCCTCCCTGCCCCATAGTACTGTATTTTGGGGCTATAATTCACCTGCCCTCTCAGTGGAACAAGGAGCTCTGCACTGGTGGAGTGATGCTAGTATCACTCCATGAGCAGAAGCTAGTGATGCTGTTCTGGTCTGGGTGCAGGGAGTCTATCAGCTATGATACTGACATCCTTAGGAATTATGCTACTGTTGCAGGAGTGGCTCTACCAGTTCAGTGATGAGTTTTGACCCAGGCTGCAGTACTATTAACCCTTTATTGTGCTGCTTTTTTTTATTTATATCTGTATAATTTTTTGTATTTTGTATTTGCACTATTTCATTTGTGTCCTGCTTTTCTTCCATGCTGGATCTACCAAGCTGTGAAGATCTATCAAGCTCTAAAGGTCAAAACTAGCGCTTTGAATTGGGCCTAGAAATAAAGTAGGACACCAGTGCTGTTAGCAAAGCACCACCACAATATGTTTCTAATTTTTAGTTCTAATTAGCAGACTAGCAGCTATATTCTTAACTAACTGCAGTTTTGAACTGTCTTCAGAGGCAGCTCCATGTATAATGCATCACAGTAGTATAAATGAAGTCACTAAAGTTGACCAGGTAGTTAAACATCCTATAGTATAAAGTGCTTTGGGCTATAAAGGAAACGTTCACCTCCAGAAGAAATGGTTC